ACTCTATAAATGCTAATAATAGTTCGTCAATTTTAGCCTTTTATTTTGATAGGAATCCCGAATGATTAATGCAATTTTACATTTACAAGCGAATTTCGCCATGATGTAAATGACTGCACCATTCAAATTCTATTCATTTGTGAACGGTGTTCAATAAGAGAAGTCAGTCGTGACGAGTCCAAAGGGATGCAAATAATGTCGAAGTTCAATCCAATAATATTGTTTTCGGTGAAAGTAGCGAGCTTCTGCACAGATATTTATTGAAAAAAGATGAAGAACCGGCAGACACGTTCATTATTATGCATAATGTAAAAAATTGATAGTCCGAAACCATCAGAAGCATGCGCAGTGACAAAGAAGTGTTCGCGTTTTCTCAGTATTGTTTCGTATTCCACAGATCACGTGTTTTCGTTTTATACGAACTAGTTTGAGATAGCTTCCAATCGGTCCAAAGCAGTACAAGCCTGTGGGCAAGTACTGCTCATGACTGTCGTGAATTATTTTGGATGCGCATGCGTTTATACAACCGATTCTCAACCTCTAAACGTTCTTATGTTGAACTCGTTGAAAGATACACTTTTGAACGAGATCAAGAATGGAATAATTGGAAAAAATCCAGCTCATCGTCCTATATCTTCAAGTTCAGATAATAACAAACGTTTTTGAACATCTTATCTGCTGGAAATACTCAAGACCCATCTGGATAGTCTGGTGGTTTCAATCGAATCTGTACTCAGATTGAGAATTCAGGGATCATTTTTGGTATATGTATAAGTGTATGAATATTTTAGTGGAGAAGGTTTATGTTCAGGTATTAGATTTTGGGATTCTTCCATGTTGAGATCAACATAACCCTAACCTAAATATACCCACGATTCACGTGAATCAAGACACAGCATATTTTCTAGAAAGATGATGAGAAAACGGGAAAACGCTGTTTTCGTGTATCTGGTTTCAAAACTATCCCAGACAAAGCCTAGACTTGTTTCGGATTGAATTTGATGCTCACCTGATTCTGCGCAGTCCAAGGACCATTTCAACAATTTTGAACACGAACAAACCTATTGTAAATACTACCACAGAGTAACATATTTGTGTATGGACCAGGTGCTCTAATGGCGAATACCGCGCCAGTGCCAGCTATAGGAACAAGAAGTCGAAAATGTTAGGTTAGTGAGTATATCAACAATAATGATAGCGATCATGTATTCCTCGTCATACTACACTGTGTGCGACTTGATAATCAAACGGATTTAGATTATATCGTTGTTTGGGACAAAAAACTATTGCTTGCCGTGATTATTCAAAAACAAGTTATCCATCCCGAGAATAACGAATGAAATACAGATCAAGCAAGTATTTGAATCTTGAAGGCTTCGCTGATCAAAACAAAAATACTCAACTGATATGTTTATAATTCCAATACTCAACTATAATAAGGTGTATTTATATCTCCAGCATGGGTATGAAATGTCGAATCTGCCGAAATCGGAAAAAACAAAATAATATGAGTGTGAAACTTATGCCATAGTCGTGTTGGGCGAACAAATTTCATATGCCAAGAGAAACAGCTGTTGTTGATGCAAGATAATACGACAGAGGATACGGTGATGACAAACTGACAGGTGTGCAACGTCTATGATGAGCCTAATATAAAGCGCTCATATCTAAGTCGGCTTCAGATACCTCAGGGGAAATTTTGGAGCTGATAACCCCAGACATACGATCAGTACTCGGGATATAGTCGAATTTGAGCTTTGTAGATTGGCTATGATATGGCTGCTTTTTATTATCTGCACCAATAGCTTATGACTCGGCTCATGATATGATCGACCCTATTATAGGAGAATGTTAATGAACCGCTAGACGCTATAGACGCTCCGCCTCCCAAATGCAAATTTCGCTTGTCAAACAAAGTGTCACTTATGATCCTAATAAAACAATCTACTATTTGAAGTTGTGATGAAAAACGTGCAGAACAGTCTCAGAAATCTCATTTCACCTGATGAAGCTACTGTGTTGATGAAACATGTCGTGTTATTAAGAATTTTGTGGAAATCTTATCGTTCGTGAAGTTTTTACATCTGAACATGTTCGAAAATCAACTAGTCTGAGAGTTGATGTTCGATGACGTAATCCTGTGTCAATCATATGAATGTTGCCGAATTGTGCTAATTTTCTTTAACTTGGGGAAGAAAGTACTTCAATGATCTTGAACTAATGAGATAACTCAAAAAGAATGAAATTGCATTCTCATGAATTCACATGGAAGTGAAAAGACGAAAAGAAACTATTCTTTGAAACAACACGATCTAACTCGGCCGAACGGAACATTTACTCTAGAAAATTACTTTGTCAAAACTTTTTCTCAAAAATAAATGCCTCCACAGTGCTTTTTTCAAGGAGAAAGGTAAATATTCCTCCTGCATAAAAAAGACACTACTTTTTTTTAACGATCTCACCTTACTCGGCCTTAATGGACCTTGTTCCTGAAAAGACAGTTCTTTTTTCAGGGAGGAATAAAAATTTCTTCCCTGTCTAAAAGAGGGCACAAATCTTTTTAAACCATCTAACCTCAATCGACCTGAATGAAGCTTATTTCTGAAAATGATATTCTTCGGAAAATCACTTGAGAAAACAGAATTAAAAAAAGCCGGCCGTCGCAGGCATTGAAACCAGGTCGCTGATGTGGGATTCGAACGCACAGTAAACTACGCCACGAGTCGTAGTAACTGTGGTAGTACGAACAAGCGAAAACTAGCACCGCTGCACTAAAATTTATGGCAAGTATACTGTCACTAACTGTAGGCAGGGGTTGCCTAAGTTGTGTTCTAGATCCATTAGAGAATGAACTTCAAAAGTGATTATAATAAATGATACTCAAAAGGTTTTCAAACAAAACACATACACACATTTATTCCTTGGTTCAAGATTAACAATTAATGATGTTCTGCCCGAACTGTGAAGGTTCGGGCACAGTGGCAACTTTTCAAACTTACAATTGATAGAACTCAAACTACCCTGACTCGTACTCAAAAAAACAAATCTAGAACTCGAACTGTCAGTCGAACAGGCAGTCCAACTCGCAGCCGAACTAGTAGTCGAACTGGTAGTCGAACTGTCGAACCCGCTTCCTTACGTCTTTTGAATAGTTGTCTATATTTTCGGAAACGTGACAGTAAGGAAATCAGGTCAATAGTCCAGGTTCGTTGAAGTCAATGTCACGCCTGTGTTTATGTCCAACTACTATGGAAAAAAGTTCGTTCACGATTCGAAAATTTTGGAATCAATGAACAAAGACGTGACCGTTCAATAATTTCGATCCTTCTATGAATTTGAATGAAATTAAGGAAAATAACCCTATTCGTGACAATACACTAGAGTCTAGGGCTAGCATCTTCTGAAGGGGCGAACGTACTCAAAAGTAAGAATGTCCTTGAGTAACAGAATTCCTCGCAAAGCGCGCTGATTTATTGTTTGTTTTGAACATAATTATGTGGGTATCAGAATTTTGAATCATTAGAGTCCTGCTGATGTTGGGCGATATAGGTTTATATTTGGATCAAAAAGTTGTTATTATACCTGGGTGTTCTTAACAATGTGTGGGGTAGGTAGGTAGTTCATAATGTGCAGTGCTGTTCTTGAAGGACTTGAGATAGGTATTGATCAGTAATACTTCAAGTACATTTAAATATTAGGGTCATACATCGATAACTTGATGCAAAATTATGAAAAGTGTCAGTTTGACAGATGAAATACCGCGAAGCGGGAGGATTACTCTGTTCAACTGACATGATTTGTAATTATGCAGGAAGTTTGAGATGTAGGTACGTGAATTTCAACATTGGAATGGAAAAACATCAGCCAGTAGTTGAGTACCTATCGAAAGAAAATCTAGTTGAAATCTAATGAATGAACTAAAGTTTCAGAAATATTTTTTTTTGTATCTACTCTGCCCACAGCTTACTAGTCTGTGCTCCTGGTATTATTGCCTACATATAGGTAAGTATACAAATATTAGGTACGAAAGCTCTCGTTCGATTATCAGTCTTCAGTATCCCACACATTAGATTAGATGATGTAAAGATGGGGTAAAATACAAAAAACTCTAAATAGACCAGAAATAGACTAATTTCTGTTATGAAATCTTACATATATATTTCGACAGTGGTATCGTCTAGTTATCGCGTTTTAATCACCAGGTTCATCCACTAGTCGAGTGATGACTGTCGACTGTCTAATCGATGCAGAGATCTATTTCGTGTCTGCAATAGCACGTTACTTCGAAAAACATGGCTGACACTGACATATCACAATGTTCCCATTTTAAATTGATATCATGGCTATTTCGATCAATTATATAGTAATAAGCTTATGTATTCGTTTTTTGTTTTGTTTCGTAGTTACGTGGTATTGCAAATTCCCGTTTTCACTGACCTGAAATATCTGAACGTAGATACGAGGAAATTTAAGGCATTATGGAATAGATATCTACGTAACCAGTTATAGGAAACGCGTCATTTTGTACATGAGTTTTATCGATTATGTAGGTACAAAATATAATAGGCAAGTTGACTTCCTATAGTTCCTATCTTCCTAAGTCACTTTCAAGTATTCGTAAGCATTTTTTTGTGTCGAAACTATTCATTATTGGTCAAAACGGCTTCCATGTCCTTATCTCAACTTGTGATTTACTATCTACTAACATTTAAATGGAACAGATACAGGGTGATCAGAATTCTGAATCTTGAACCACCTCTTTCTTTTTTCTTTTTTGTGTGTCAAGTACATTTAGGAACTCTAGTGTGCGCTATCGGCGCTAGGGTAAGTTAGCCTCCTCAGAAGGGGCTGGCCCTAGACTCTAGTGAAGTATACTCACCAAAGCTACTGTTTTCCATCTTCTATTAGTTCCGAATTTTCCGACTGACGTGTCCACTCCCACAAACCAGCATCCGCGCGTGTTCATTAAGTTTTCTCATTTTCCTCTCCACTTTTTGCAGGTGCTGTCGAGTCTGAGATTGATAATGATGTGCTCCAGAGCAACGGCAGCGTCCACCCCAACTTCGGATTCAATGTAGCTCGAAATGTAACCACTGCGGTGGGCCATACGGCGTTCCTGCATTGCAGGGTGGAACAACTTGGGGACAAGGCGGTGAGTTCGACCACTTCACTAGACTCTAGGGGGAGCAACATATGAGAAAGGAGTCGGATTTAACCGAACGAAAAATGTCCTTCTCTACACCAATTCCAATTTTAGTTCATAAGGCGTCATGTTGATTTCAAATATTATCAATTGTATATCAATTTCAAGAAGTATCAAACGTATTTAAAAATGTTCAATTCAATTTCAGAATGCTTCAATTGTATTTCAACATAGTCATTTGAATTTCAATAACACAGGAACCATGAACGTTCCGATAATAGGATGATTGAAAATATCACCCAACACCCAACTATATAACCTTTGCCTGTGCTTTTTCAGTTCTGAAATTCGAATGATGCCTTACGAATACAAGATTTGATATGTTTCTATATACAAATGACTATTTTGTAATTTCAATTGTTAGTTTTTGAAATTAATTCTATTGATGCTTTTTTGAACCCGAATGACTATTCTCGAACTGAAATTAGAAAATGTTCAGAAACAGAATTTATTTCTTCGAAAACTGTCATCACGAGATGAAATTTTCATTGAAATGTCAGTAAGCGGTGAGGCTTTGTCTTGTCACTCAGCTGAGATAATCCTTTTTGTATCTAGTGAGCTAAATGACGAGGCATTGCCAAGGTACTTAGGTATAATAATAATTTAATTAATAGATATTTCACGCTCGAGTTCCAACAAAATTCATACCAGAAATAATATTGATTCAAAATGAGCAATATGCTTTCCTTAAAATGAAGAGTAGTGTTGAACTGGCTCGAGTCTTAGTCTAAGTGATGTTAAAACATTTCGAAATTGATGACTTTGAATTTTTACTCGATTGTGGACCATTTTTGAAGGTCACTTTTTTCCAAGTACTGGTGAAAGCTGAAATGCCAAAATACATCGATATTCCTTCCATCATACCTACTTATTCATAAATTTTTCATTAAAATATCAATTTTAATGCAGTTTCCGAAGAGGTATTGTTTTTTTTCTCATCTTGACTGCGAAATAGTTTGGCACATATTTAAAAATATATAGAGGTGCGAAATTCATTCTACGTTGTTTATTTTCAGTCATGAGTAGTACAGTAAAGCATCAAATAATAATAATTATGTAAGAATTATGATTTCGAATACTAGAATGTAGACGGATCCGCGTATTAACAAATCAACAATCAAACTAATCAGATCAGAGAATGTAATGTTGAATGAGAGAGTGAAGTGTGAAATGAAAATGATTTGCCAGGCTGTTTGAACAGGTTGACACAATAAAACCTTGACATATTTATGAAGTTACGATTGTTCTTGCCTACTCTCGAAAAAATCTCAAGAGAAATAAGAGTGTATGTTAGAATATCTTTTCATCTCTTGAATCGCACTAGAAGTAACTCCTATCATGTCCAGTAAACCTTTAGTTACTTGAGTATAATAACATTTCAGTAATGATAATAGTTCACTAATTTTTTAAAGAAATTGTCGGACCACCAGAATATCAACTATATATCACGAGCTATACATGAAAACAAAGCTGAAGAAAACTCCATAACAATTCAAAATTTCAAAGACTGGAAGAGTATAAAGGAAATACAGTAGATATGGTAGGTAGCCAATAAAAGAAGTGAATATCAATCTCTGACGAACTCTGAGAACATACCCAACTTTTTTCATCTTATCCCTGTTAGTGTCCTCTAGAAAGAGGTTACTTGAATTATTGATGATGATTGATCCTTCTATCATCAGGTTTAATTACCGAAAATTGACTAACCAGAAAATGTATTACCATTTTGTTCTTCAATTACAATAATTTATTTTGGAATTGAAAACTCGAAGTAGGTGGAGTATAAAGTAGAGAATTCAGAGGTAGTAAGTTTATCGATGTTAATTTTTCTTGTAAAATTTGCTTCAAACATAAAGCTCCGTTTCGTTATCAGCATTTTATTAACTGAAGCAGATTGACAGATAACATGAACAATATATAAAATTGATAATAATATACCACTTTCGTGTTCGTGTGTGATTATACAAAGAATATGTCATGTGACAAACTATAGCTTCCTTCATTGAAGTTTCAATATCATCAGGCAAATGAAATGCTGTCAACTCCTGTTTTATATCCACGATTTATAACATGAATACCAATCGTCGTCTCCAGTTTTTTCTCGTTCGGGTTGACTCAGTTCCACATTCGGTGCTCGCCCTAGACTCTAGTAACCACTTCCATCACTTACCAAGTTAATCTGAAAGAGGGGAAGTCCCTGTGTTTACAGACCTTGACCTACTTTTCCGTAATTCACACTCGTAATCAGAAGAGCTCCCCCTTAGCTTGGAGGATCAATTAACAACAAGGATAGGTGATAGTTTTAAATTTCAGCAGAGCTTTTTCTTCTCTACCCTTCTGTTCAGTTCGTTCTTCAATAATTCAGGCAAATTGTATTATTGGCTATGGTAAGGTTGAACAATGGTAAGGTTGAACTGATTAGAGAATGTGAATAATGCTGTTGGGAGCAATTGGAACAATATACCGGGTGAGTAGAATTCTAGTAGATGCATGGGGATCTCGGAAACGGTAAGAGCTACAGAGAGGGTTAAACGGAAGCAAAAACAATTCAGAATACCTACTTCCGATGATTTTCGGAAAAAAAACCGAATATTCGCGATATTATTTTCTGACTCTATTTGAATAGATGTAGCAAAACAAATTACACACACTCATTGCTATTCTTTTGTTCTACAAGATGGTGTTATCAGATTTTCGAACCAACGTTTCGTCTCTGAGCTGCCTTCATCAACATTGTTTAACAAATACGGACCTGTTGTTTTGTTGTTTATCGATTTCAAGAGCTTTCAGTCTCCTGAAATCACTCAAAAAAAGTGAGTACTTTTTCCCGGATTTGTATCACTATAATATATAGTTCCGAAAAATAAGCCAATAACACCGTCTGCAAGAAAGAACTGCAAGTCCTTTTATCTTCCATTCAACTTCAACAACAGCTTTATAAAGAATCCTGCAAAAACTCAAAATTCCACGACGATAATTTTCTGATTTTATTAAAATGTGATAATGATTCGTTCTTCTTCCTGTCATAGAAAAAATTGTATATTATACACGTGAAAAAAAAATTATTTCAGCTTACGGCTTTTTATCAACGACAACACAACCTGGAGCTAGAATCAACCACTTTTTTTCCTTGCATAATATATAACTATTAATTTTATTCCTGATGAAAATCTATTCTCTGTCTCTCTCTAACAGGGGTTCTTATGGGAAATGCCATTGATATGAATTTTTTGAATAAGTGCGATACAACGTTGATTCTGGGAGATCGAAAGCTCTTAAAATCCATAATAAAAAATCCAAGTCACTTTTTGAAACAACAAAGTTGACGATGGCAGTTCAAAAACGAAACGTCGGTTTGAACAGAAGAAGTAGCAATGTGAATGTGTGATTCATTTTGTTGCATCAATACAACTGAAGCCAGCAAAAAATAAAAATGAAATCGCGAGTAATTTTTTTTTATTCTTCGGCAGTATTCAGAATTCTACAAATTTTCAAGCGGCGTTTTCTTAGTCATAAAATTGCGCAACTTTGCCTTTATTCAACCCTTTCTGTGGATCGATATCCCACTGCATCTACTCGAATTTCACTCACCCGGTATGTATAGAAGAGGCTGAGAATAATGACACGATGATTCAGAAGAATATATATTTTTTATCCTTTGAAAGTTATTTGTTATTCAAAATTCAAAGTTACTTTCGGTGCTAGTAAACTCACTAGAAGGAATCGCTTGGATTCGCCTTTGAATTTCTGATTAATAATTCACTAGAGTTACAGGCAACTTTGATGTTGAATATCTTCAATTTTCCTGAGGAAACTGTAATATCTTATTTTGTTATGTTTTTTTTCCGAAAAATGAGAAAAAAATCCTCGAAGAATTGAATTTTCAATATACATTGTCTTGGTGGAAAGTATTACTCAGATAAAACAAACAGACCTTTTTCAGTGAGGACAAAAAAGAACATAGGAACAATGTAGGAAAAAGATATACCGACAAATCTCAATGATCTGAACGATTCCTTACTGAAAATGGACAACATATAAGATGATGAAGTGAAAATAAATTAAAATCGTAAGAAATGAAGATAATAGTCAAAGAATAAATCGAAAAATCCGCTTGCATTCTTCTGTACAGAGACAACATTGTCACTGTTTTGATTTGATTGATATAGAAAGAACATGGTATTCACTACTGAAAACTGAATAGAAAAATGTTAAAACCTCCTGTAATTCTTGTACCATTTTCTGTTCGTGCTGGAAACGGGAGCAGATTCGTTGTCGAAACATCAAAATCTAAGTGGAAATTTGATTTTTCCTGATATATCTATATTCCTTTCCTACAAACATTATTCAAAGCTAAATTGTATCTGGAAAAAATAGTAGAATTTACTTTTTTGGGGATACTTTATGTTTTTCGGGTCGCTGATTCCGAATTTTTCACTTCGTGCCAAAATTTCCCACTGGAAATATCGGAAGTTTCGAAAAAAAATGCCAAAAGCAAGTATAATCTATTTTACCAATATTTTATTTGTGGAAACGAGGAAAGGATATTGAAAGAAATCTGAGGAACAAATCTGTTTTGATGAAATGATGAGAAATTCATAACTGAGATTATTACAATCTAGGCAACTAATAGAGTGTGTGTTTCAGGAATTAGGGAGTTATGAATGAAAGATTCAGTACCTGCTTACCTACACGAGTATCACTATAATCCCTGATGTTCCTCATAATTAAATTGCCTTTCACAACTTCATCAACATGTTTAATTGGTATGTTGATTTAATATCAGCGATAAAGTAATCACCCGAAATTTCTGAGATTGCTGCATCAGATACCTCATAAGATGATTTTATGCATTTCAGTATAAGCTCGGATACCATGGTACTTAATTGACGAATATACCTCCAATAATGTTTTGACTTTGCCAAAATTGGTATACTGTTCAAATATTCAGGGTGTATCAGTTTTTTGTAGCAAGATGGCGCTCAGCCGCCATTCCAAAACTTTGAGATGTCGTTTTTCATGAGATAGTATAGGATTCCATCTACCATCTCTCGAAGCTATAAGAGATCATTTGAAAATCACATTATTGCTCAATGGTCCTTTTCCAAGGCCACCTCGATCACCTGATTTCAATACACTTGAACAAGTCGTCGAAACCATTCATTTCCTCAAAGTGGTCCAGAATTTTTCAAAGGAAAAATTTGGATTTTTTGTATTTTTCCTTTCAATACACTTGATTTATTTCTTTGGAGCAATCTTAAATGTTCAGTCTATAAAACACCAGTGAATATTAGGAATTAGCTCTTGAAAATTCTTACATCTGCACATGACGTGAAAATAATCATCATCACATATTATCTTGAGTACAACGCAGATGTTTAGACAACTCCAGAAAATACGTTGAACTCCAGGATGCACATAATCAGAACTATTTTTGATAATTTTCTCGTCTTCACTGATGTCATTCAATGGGTAAATAGAGCTTTTATTACATCTGAAACGGTTCGAATGTGATTCTCTCTAGAATGGTACAATATATCGATTGGAATAGAGTATACCATTTTTGTAGATGAAAGATGATGGAATCAAACGGTGGAAGCAAAATCTGAAATTTGTCACCTGTCAAAAATGTTTACTGGAGATCCGTTTACGCATGGAAAGGAGCATTAGTATGAATTTATTTACATGCCCGAATATCATTGATAGCGTCGCAACCGTTTGAAAGTTATTCATGAAATTCATTTGTTTCATTTTAAATCTGTAAGTTAACAACTCCGTAACGAAACGCGAAAAAAAAAGTTATATGAAGTATTAACATTATTTTGGTTCCCACTATCAGCCCTATCATTTACAACATGACTTTTCCGGACACCCTGTATAGTCGATAGTGGATTCATGAAACACTAATTCTCATTATATTATCACTAACGAATTATAATGAAAATGTAGGAGATGCTCAACTCGTTAGTGTTTTAGGGTAATGTGTAACTAGCTTATGTGTACACAGTTCTTATCTTCCTAATAGGACCTCATCTTTTATAATACTGTGCCTGGACATATTTTGCTTTTATAAAAAGAACGCTTGAACTTTCATAGAGTGAGTAAGAAAACTTAGGACAGCAAAATTGACAGTAACCACACGTTTTCCACATTACCAAAGTTAAACTAGCATGCAGGGTGTTTCACAGGTTGCGCAGGTGGTTCTGAAAATACCATATCTGATTAGTCTTACAGTCTCTATAACAGAGATACAGGGTGATCTACTCGAAACATTGAAGAAACACACTGCCGTGTAAAGAATCGTGAAGAGGAGAGAAAACTGAATTGGATTTGATTCTATTTGTAGCCACCAATTCTCATAGTAACACTCATCAACAGAAAGTTGGAAGTTTGTCAATTTGAGAGGTTTAAAATGAAGAGACGAGTATTAATAATGATTATTTGATATCTACTAGTTGAAAAATCGCTCAAAAAACTTACTCAGATTGCATACTTTTCGTATTTGCTGCTACCAACTCCTCTAATGGTAACAATTTGAAGCAGAAAGTTGAAATTTTGTTAATTCGAAAGAATAAAAATTGGCAGTCCCAAAATTATTTCAGCTGATAAACAGAAAGTTCATGAATTGTCAATTTGGTAAGTATTAAGTAATATGAAACTAAAGTTTACTCAAAGAAAAATTACAAATATCATTCAATATCAACTATGGAACTAGTATATACGTTGTTTGATTTCATTTACCGCCTATTGAAAAAAAATTGAAGGCGGTAAAACAAAAAGTATCAAATCCAATTCAGTTTCTTTCCTTCTTTTTACGATTCTTTTGATGACCTTTGTTAATTATCAAATACAGTGTGTTTTTTTAATATTTCGAATTTTTCCTGAATCCGAACCTGGATTTCCATTCCGCCCGTATAGACTCCATAATAAATTTGAGGAAAATATACTGGGCCACCCCTATCTAACATCAAAATATTTCCGTTCATCTCAGAAACACCCTGTATTGCTGTTCAATTATTCGAACGTTTTGTGGAAATATTTCCGAGCTTTCCACTCTTTGTTACTCAACATCATCATTACACTTTGAGCAATTTGGCGAAACCAGATTCTGTTTCTCGTCTTCTGTTCTAGAAGTTGCCCAATTCAGGTCACGCTTATAACCATCATTTTTTAATCAAAATATTTCAGTATCGACTTTCACCAATAGTACCTCATTGGTGTGAAATATACCCAATATACAAATCGCGTGTAATAGCGCCCTCTATCAGAGTTAGATATCTATAAGAACAAATTGTTTCTTCAACGGGTGCTGTTACGAAAAGATTTCAGTGAGCAAACCTGAACTAGCTGGTAATCGCAATATTATGATGCTCACAAAAACAGTTTCTCTGCTATGAAGCAATAATCGGATGCTGAGAAGGTTTTTCTGTGATATTGTGATACCAATCAATGCATCACATTGTTTCAAAATGTACGAGTAGGCGATTTTTTTGGGGTGTCGTAAGAGTAATTGAATATTTTTGTGAACTATTCCTAAGGAATTCTGTGTTCAACACTTCTTTGGGTTGTGGTATTTTTTTTTTCAATTTTGTATATCGCTACTTCCAAGTTGGAAAGCAACAATCCAGAAGGCGAAATCTATGCTGGGTTAGGTGTTCAATTATATAGAGAATGTTCTGTTCAATTAAATGATAACAATCAGCAACTTGCTCACGGATATTTCTATGTAGATCTATGTATACATAATATAATAGTACTATTATTCTTGTGAACATATCGAGAGATATTCGATATTTCTATGTAGGTTCGTACCTACACCCAAAAACTCTATGAGTAGGTATATAAGAATCGGAATATATGAAAAATATAATGTCCCATTTCTATTGGCTCATTTCTACCTAGGTATATACACATATAAAGTCGAACATCTTATCAAAAACGATATTTCACGACGAGAAGAAGCATTTAATTATAGGTATCACATTTGACTACTGACACTATCATTTCCCTTGAAGAATTTGCAATTCACACTCGAAGGCAGTACCAAACGTATGTCGACAGTGCTGATCCACCATCTGTGCCAAGGAATCACCTGATCTCTGATTATCAGATATATAGTCACAACATATCCCATAACCACAGCGAGAATGAACATGGAAACGGACGTTCTGATCCACTTCCTCTGGATGCCCAATTTCCCACCTTCTGAAACGAAATATTCCATCCCGAGGAAGCTGCACGTGAGCAGTCCTGACGTCACCAGAGTCAATAAAACAGCTATTATGGCGTCGGAACGCACGTGACCCCTATTCCTGGGATGCCCCATCCACAAGCGAATACCTCTGCACAAGCCGTACCTCTTGGTCTGGACCGAACTATAGCGGAACATGCACAATTCACAATAACTTCTGCTAGATTGATTCAGCCATCTCTCTAAACAGGATAAATGGACGTATGCCAGCGATCCTTTGCAGTTGCAGGGTGATATAAGGGCTTCATTAACCGTGTTCGTATGACATATTCTGCATACGATCGACGCAACCGACTGAACATGCTTCGGTGATTTGTGCACTGATATTTTGGACAATGTTTTGTGACTGGAAGTTTTTTCAGGGCCGATTCCGCTTACAACTTTCAATTTGTCGATGCTCTGAAAGGATTTGATTTCATCTGACATTTTAAACAGGCAGTCATTTTGATAATGACAATGACACATTTTTGAAAAATGTGTTTGAGATGCTTGAATGATAGATGTATAGAGCGTCAAATGGTGTTATCACTTCCTCTTGAAAGGAGTTTCGAAATCTCTCGGTATCGCCTACTTTGTAAATATAACAAGACGTGGGAGAATCTTGCTGAATTTCCGGAATTGCACACCGAATTTACAGGCATCATGACACATTCATTCGAGTTCACATTTTCATTTTCACACTTTTCAGGGTAATTGGAAATGGTGCGTTATATTTTCGACTTTCAGTGGTGAATTCATGAACGACGCGAAGTCCTAACTCAAGGAAGTTCTGTGATAATAATTCATTCACTCACTTTTGGTACATAAAATAAAAAGAATGTTCTGATTTTCAAATAATCCTCACACATCGCAGCATGGTCAGTCCATGATTAAAGCACAATCCATTCACTCAACTACTTAATATTATATCAATACCTCCTTAATGAACTATACTAAAATGTTCTTATCAATTATCATTCATAAGAATCAATATTTCCATATCAAATTTGAACAACATCATGAATATGCCAAAAAAGTCACAATCGTGACAGATATGTCGAATCACGATCAACGGATCAAATCAAGATCAAGATCGACATGTTTCCGCACGGATAATTTGTTGCGCCCTGTCTATAGATGCTTCGATTCAGCTATTATTAAATTCGTGCATCATCAACGGGACTCTTCGGGTCTCGAAAGAAGAAAAACACATCCTTGGAAGTCTAGTACAACACCATAATGAACATTTTGAAAGTTTCTAAGAAATTGTTCATCGTTCACGCCATCTATCATCGCTTTCGAGAACCCCACGCTCCGAACTCGTATTCAATTGTTCATATCGAGAGTTGTCTGACGAAATAATTGAAGAGTGGGCACAACAGAGGAAAAATCTCACTCGAATCATCATCGATTAACGACGGGGGTGCTCGATATGTATTTCTTCGTGGAAATCTTTTTATGGGTATTTTTCATTGTCACTTTGAAAAATAAAAATTAAGAATGCGTTCGGATTCCTTCGCCATTCTGCTGACGTCAATGGTGCACACAGAGCTAAAAAACGATTTTTTTAGCGCGACTGTGACGTTTCTGGAAGAAGAAAGAAACTGTTCCATCGGTAAACAAAAGATTGCATGATTTAACAGAGGAGACCTGATCATTCTATCGAAAATGTCTTTATAGTTATGGAAATCTATGTTCTATAACTGTGTTAAGTAGATTCACCAATCCAGTTATAAACTAGCTCACATACATTCCTATTGAACCCAAAATGGAATTTTTCATGTGCGAATGAATATTGATTCTACAATCCTTGGCGAAGAAGATATAAACAGGATATATTAGCTTACATAGCAAAAAACGCGATATTTCTAGAGCGACTGTGACGTTTCTGGAGATAGAAAGGAACTTCCCCATTGGTAAACAGAAGATTGCATGATTCAACAGAGTAGACGAAGGTGTGAGCAGAAGACAACAAGTTATCCTTTCGAGACTACGCATTGGACATACCAAACTAACACATCAACATCTCCTCAGGAAAGAGGAAGCCATCAGATGCGAGTTCTGTGGAGTTAACATCTCGATGAAACACATTGTTCTGGAAAACCTACATTCGGCAAGAGAAGTATAAAGTATCAGAAGTTCATTTTATAGTATGTCACGTAGTGCATAATATGTGTACATCAATACTCTCTTAGCCTTTTTGTAAAAAAGTTGATATGTTTCGTCCATTTCAGGTGTTGATATACGTATAGTATGACTCCGAGGTATTTTATTGATGTAGGTAGTTTGTTCTACGGTTTGACAGTCACGAAGAATACTTCAAATACCACGAATACCATTTCCTATCGATCCTTCAAAATTAAAAGAGAAATGAAAATTCCGTCCGAGCAGGACCTCTCTGATATTCCGAATTATCAATCATTTCGAAACTCTCCGGACTTCCAAATGTCATCGTCTTTTCTCCGGAACGATAAAAGAGTCAGTTTTGCTTCCCAGAAATATCATTTCCGTTTCTCGCTATCGGGAGAAACTCAAGTTTAATTACCGCCGAAATGAAAGAAACATTAGCGAAACGTTTCTTTTCCCTTTCCTTCCGTTAATCTGTCAAAGTTTCGTCGCCAGCGAAGGCCACTCCACCAATCCCTTAATCTGTCGAGTTCTTAATCTCTAGAGCCAAGTTGCCGAGTCAAGGTATAACAAAGGAGATGTTACTCATTTTTATACTGGCTCAAGTATATTGAATGAGGTTGTACACACTATAGTCGAATTTCCGCCACATATTTATTATACAGGGTGAGTCCTACCACGAATAGAGGCCCCTGAGAGAAATACCTATAATGACCATCAGAAACTGTATTCTTCCTGTCTTTACCAATATTTAGGGTGAATTATGAGACATATACCGGGACATATACCGGGTGATCAAGGTTCTGAATTCTGCACGACCCTGTATTTGTTTCAATTAAATGTCAGTAGATAGTTGATCAAAAGTTGAGATAGGGACATGTGAGCCGTTTTGACCAATAATGAATAGTTTCGACAAAAAAAATTCCTACAGTTAAAAAATGTCGATTTTTCACACCTTATATCTCTGTAATCATTTCCGCTAGACCCCAAGCGTGATACTTACATCGATGAAATCAGCTCTTCAGAGAGAATCTGAAAATGCAATAAAATACAGGGTGTTCTGTTCAAAATAACAAAGTTGTTGCTACTTTTTGATAGAAGCGGCAACGCTGCAGAGCTGAAAATATTTTAGATCGATAGACCAAAAGCAACTACGTGAGTAACCAAAATTTCAGAATGATCCTATGTCCCGTTCTCCATAAACTTCTAACGTACCATCGACCGTGAGTTACCCTGTATAGAATGTCTAATACATGCAACAAATTCAGTGACCAGCTTGATTTATTCGATAGGCTTGTGAAAACTATACGTAACATCTGCCTGAACTTAATTGTGTCATGATTCAATAACATCATATTATTTTCAATTTCAGTAGTTTATATCCTGTATATTATCTTGTTTTTGTGATTCTCCCACTCTGTAAATGGTTTCTGTTGAGTGGTGTATGGATAAATCAATAAATAAATAAATAAATGAATGATATTCCAATGAGGAAGGAAAATTAACCAACGAGCATTCTGACGTCGTTGAATTATTGTAAGAGGAACAACAAAACTGATCCCTGCGTTCTCTCAGTCCGACCCAATTTATCTCAAATTCTCTTCAAAGGTTAGCATGAATATGTTTGCGAAAGTTCACAATAATTCCCCGAGTATTCCAGATAAAATAGCCAACTGCAATCCTCTCATGTGTTTCGGGTATTACTGAAATATCACTAAAGGTACCTCAAAGCTCTCCAATGAGCAGCGTTTTCCATATAATTCTGACTGTAGAGGAGAATTTAATATCCACTTGTATTCCATCTTTTGGAGCGTTTCCTTTTCGGCTTCTTCCTGTTATCTCCATGTACATCGGAATGAACAAACCCTCGAAATATGTTTAGTAAACATCAATATTTCAAAATGTTTGTGGATTCCAAATGCCTTTGATCCATTATTTGAGGTAAGCGCAAATCTTCAGTTATTGAGTGGAATGGCTGATATTCATTAAAGTTGTATACCAGAAAATTTCAATATCGAATGAAGTCTGTCTCAAAATTGAATGTCATCCAATCATACGAGAGATACCTTGTTCGGAATACATCAAAAAAAAGTTATATCTCTCAAAACGCATTGTATTTGGCTACATCAGGGTATGGATAACGAGTAGGTTAATAAAAATCTCTCGCACATCTGAAATATGGCAGATTAGATGAATCGAGTGCAGTTGAACATATATTCAATTACAATCATAACATACACATCAATATCCTCAATTGGTTTTACAAGTTGATAATGTTAGAAAGTTAGATGCATATGAAAACCTAGCAATAGTTGAGAAAGTTATCAATATATAGTGATAAAAGACTCCTCCTACTGATTAGTAATTCAGAATCAGTATTAGGAGAACATACCAGATACCTAGTATACATATACATACATATATAAGTAGCATATAGTAGAATAGGACGTTAAGCTCGAGTCTTCTTTTGCTGATTCTAAAATAGTTAGCGAAACAAGTGTCAAAACCTTAAAAAATCGCTTTGGTTAGTGGTATTTATATAATAGTGTAGGTTTGATGCATAATACCATTCAACTGTAGATGAATTGCAAACAACTTGCTTGTGAAAACTCTATGAAAGAATATATCAAGTAGTTCAGGTATTCACTGGTTTTCCCAAAAATATCCAGTGACGTGCTATACTCAATTCTAGAATAGTTATGTCTAACCATATAATCGGTGCCTATTGATTCCTATAACTAACTATTCTCAACTTGTTCCGTAGACGTAGGTAGATAGGTATGTATAAAGAAAGGTACGGTGTGCTAAATTCTGAACAGACCCACTTTTGATTTCCCTTGCTGGAAATAGAACACTTGATAAACGCTTTATTCACGACCGGGTGTGAAGTAGTACTTTATCTCCTGATATTATTGGCGTTATGTGTCTCTTTAGTTCCTCAGAACAGAACAATGGATTTGTATTTGTTCCTGCAAAGCAGTACAATCTGGGTATTGTAAACATGGTGTAGTGTTCTTTTATATGTCAATTGATTTGCTCGTCATAATTAGTTTCAATTGTTCTAACTATCTCCATTTCTTCACCCGGTCACTGTTCACTAAACTAATAAAAATGTAATAATGTAAAAGAATTGACCAACTCAACCATCATCACTACCAACAGTGCCAACACTTTATGTCATGTCATTAACAAGTTTGACTACAGCTACAGCAATGTAGTCTATGCACTTTATCCATAGACAACAGTTTATTTTTCCCCAGTTTGAAGTTCGTATTATGTAACCTAGATGTCGCCCACTTCGTGAATCTCGCGAATAGAGACCATGGTGTGAATAACACTT